CAAATCACGGGTCCGGGTCTGTTTACCAAAATTGTTGACCGAAGTCAACTTTAATCATTTTAAAACTACATTTTGAAATTTTTTACAGAATTTAACATATAATCTTTCCGGCTACGCGCTCGGACTGCGCAGCAAATTGAGGCAAGTGAAAATGAGGTTTTCAAGGCCTCGGAAGCACGGAATGATAGAGAAAACAGGTGATGACCCTTTGGGTCGTCACATAGGGGGCTGACCAGCCAGAATTAATGGCTGGCCGCCGGCCGGCGAAGCCATAAGGCTGTTTCTCTCTCTAGATCACCTAAATCGCCTATTTGTATTCAGTTGTATTCGCATGTATATTTCAGCTGTATTCACATGTATTCAACAGCATTCATTTATATATTTTAGATGTATTAAAAAGTTATGCGTATTCTCTTGTATTCAGTTTTAATCAGTTGTATTTAACTATTTTATTCAGCAGTAGTTAGTTGTATTCAAGTGTTTTATACAACTGTATTCAGTTGTAGTTAGTTATATTCAACTATTTTATTCAGCAGAAGTTAGTTGTATTTTGTTGCATTCAAGAGTTTTATTCAGCTATAATTAGTTGTATTTTGTTGTATTCAAGTGTTTTATTCAGATGAATTAAGTTGTATTTTGTTGTATTCAACTGTATACAGTTCTACTCAAATGTATTATTCATATGTATTTCTCTTTATTCAACTATAATCTTTATTATGTATCTTTCAAATACAGATTAATGAGGGATCGTTTTAGTTTCGTTGAGTTAAATTAGGAGAATATCATGTGATTTGATTTCCTTCCGTTTTTAACCAGTTTAACCTTCCAGATTTTGCGCAGATGCGTTACTGTATTTAACGTTAATGCCGCTTGAATACAGCTAAATACATGTCAAACTTAGCTGGAATTCCACTTTTTACGCCTATTTTTTTGGTTGTATTAATGAATACAACAGCTTAAATACATGAAATACATTGCATAAAAACATAAAAGGTATCTATAACACGTAATATAGCAAAGAGTATCTATAAATGGCTAATTAGACCTAAAAGATGGTGCTTTATGAAAAATTCTCAAGTTTTATTCAGATTGCATATTTGATTGCTTACATAAAAATTAATAATGGTATATGAATGTTTGTTAATTTCTTTATGTTCTGATAAGTAGAGAGTAAGAATAGTTGCCACACTGACCTTGTTCCTTAACAACGCAAATGCTTTTGTTTCCATGATAAAAATTATTCGATTTTTTAAATTACTGAAAAGGATAGCTAAATTAGGGGATTAGTGAAAGAAAAAAGCTCGTAGAGATAATTTTGCTGGTAAGCATTTAAAATTTTCAATCTTTATTTGGATTCTAATTTATAAGAAATTTGGACTAGATTTTAAATTCAAAACATGATAGTTCAAATAAATTCTATGGGTTAATATAATTGAATTAGATATTTGAATCCAGTTAATTAAATAGAAATTGGCACAAATGTACATGTTTTTTGCATCCATTTGCACCCACTTAGCCAACAAATATATTTCACCACTATTGCCAAAAGAAACTTAGCAACCGGTATTCAAATTTCTCAAGCAATCTCACTTCTCCTTCGCTCAATTCCTCCTCCTTTTGATCTTTCTCTAGCTCTCTCACAGACTTTTTACACACATCTCCCATGGCTTCCACAATTTTTCTCCGAATTTCCTTTCCGCTTACATCACACTCTTTCTTTATATAGTGCTAGTGAAATATGACAATATAAAGTGAGTACTTTCTTCTTCTTTAGTTGTTGATAGTAAATGATAATCATGCAATTTAGCTAATATTTACACTCTAATTTGGCCGGACTTTATCAATGTCTGATTGTAAAAGATAACAAAATACTCTAATTAAGAATTTTATGCTTTGCAGGAGCCATTCCGAGCTAGGAGGAAGCAAAAAGAGTATTTTGGAGTCAATATGGAGCATGGAAGGCCAATCGGAGGATAACCCGATCGAAAAGGAGAAGAAAGAGCAAGGACCGAATCCGCGGTCAGGTCCGCGGCCGCGGACAGAAATTATGTCAAATCCGCGGTCCAATCCGCGACCGCGGACGGGTTGACGTGAGCCAAAAGTCCAAGGTTAATTGTGTAATTTTCAGGACGACTCTCCTTGACCTATAAGAAGCCCAGCTCGCCCAAAAAGAGGATATGGAGGTTTTTGATGAGATTTTGAAGGCAAGAACAGGCAAGAAGCAAGGCGAAAAATTCGGCATAGAGTTTTTACCTTTCTTCTTCTTGTTTTTATCATTGATGATGAATTATATCTTTATGATTGTGCAAACGATTATGCGTAGCTAAACTATATTGTGATTGCTGTTGATTGTTGTTGATTGAAGGACCCTCAATCGGCTGTGCCTATTGAGTATGCATTACTCGGAAGAGAGTGCATATTTAGGTAGTTGTTGAACAACACCATTCCTAACGTATATGAGGGATCAATACGAAGGGTTTAAAGGTGGGATTAGGATAACGAAACCTTGGGTGCGATCTAAGTGAGCTGTTACTAAGGCCAGCTAACGTAATTCGGGAGAATATATCTAGTATATTGTTGTAATTACTCGAGAGAGAGTTACGACAGTCAGAGTGATCATTATCGATAGAGAAGACTTAGGCAAATTTATAGCAAACATAGCTGAAAGGATTCTGACAAGAGGGGAAATCAGAACCTTAGACCATTCTCATTCTTGCTTACAAACAGTTTATAACTAGTTCTAAATTACTGCATTTTTATTACATAATATTTAGTTAATAAACACCCAAGTTGTTACTCAAATATCTCTGAAGATTGAATGCGTGAATTTTTGTGAGTCCAATAGCTGTGATTGATAGGTTAATTCCCTGTGGGATTCGACTCTGGACTTGTTAACCGGAATATACTTGCAGCGACCGCTTTGTCCTTTTTATAAGGCATAGCTGGGCGTGATCAAATTTTGATGTCGTTGCTGGGGAATTAACGGTGTTATTGATTGCAGTTTAAAAGAAGTGCAAAAATTCTTACTGTAGTCAATTTTCTTCAATTTAAACTAACCATTGAAATTCTAATGTTTGTAGTCGTGATTGTTACAGGCGCATGCCTAGATACTCCTCAAGAACTGGTGAATTGCTCGAAGCATTATCAGATCCTGAGAAAGTGTTCAAGGCATTGAATCGTGCAAACAGGAAAGGCAAACAACAACAGAACTCAACCGAACAAATTGAACCATAAATGGAAGACGATCATCCAAACAAAAGAGACAACGTGAATGACCCATACGATCAGGGTGTGGCACCTCTTGTGCCAGAAGCAGCACTATATGATTGGGCACAACTCACCGCTGACAACTTAGCAACTGCCATTGTAGTCCCTCAGATACAAGCAGATTCGTTCCAGATCACAAATAACATGCTACATCTGTTGCAGAACAAGGGACTGTTCTCTGGGTCATATGTTGAAGATCCTCAGCAGCATCTAAAGAATTTCCTATCAATCTGTGCCACGCAGAGGCAACACAACGTGACACCGGAAGCAATACGTTTGTTGTTGTTTCCATTCTCAGTGACAGAAGCAGCTCAGACTTGGCTTAATTCACACCCCATCAACTCCATCACTACTTGGGAGGAATTAGCCAAGCAATATTTGAACAAATTTCATCCACCCAACAAGACTGCTCAGCAAATTGATGAGATATTGAGCTTCAGACAGAAACTAACTGAGACGCTACATGAAACGTAGGAGAGATTCAAGGGTTTGCTGGTTATGTGTCCACATCATGGTATTCCGGAGCAGATGTTAGGGTAGAGATTTTACATGGGTTTGGCAGATAGTTTGAAAGCCAATGTTGATGCTTCAACAGGTGGAGCATTTTTGAGCAAAGCATTTAGAGAGAGCAAGATCCTACTTGACAAGATGGCACAAAACTCAGGATGGACAACAAGAAACGCTCCAATCACTCCTGTGGTTCACTCAGTGGCTCTAGACCCGACTAACTCCATAGATGAAAATATGGCTACTCTACTGACACAAATGAGCATCCTCACCAAAAAGGTTGAACAATCAGGCCAAAAGCAGCAGGTACACATAGTTGATGCAACTAGTGGGGGTATATGTACATCATGCATTAATCAACCATATGTCTGCTCGTGGAGTGTTGAAGGTGATAATCAACAATATCATAAGAACATGAATTATGTGGCCAACAATGGGGGACCGAGACCAGGTGGTCAAAATTGGGGTTAGCAGAATCAACAATATAGACCAACTCAGCAGCAATACAATATCAACAATAACCATGGGGCTATGCAACCACATGGGCAAATAGTTCCTTGCCAAAGGCAATAAGGGTACAACCAGCAAAATCAGCAGCAGGCTTATCAACAACCTCCACAACAACAGATTTTGAGACATGAAGATGGGTTTGCCAAACTTGAAGGAATGATGCAACAAGTGATTGGGTCCACTGGAAAACTAGCTGACAGAGTAGACTCACATGAGTCAGCGATAAAGAATATCGAGATCCAATTAGGACAGATTTCCATGGCCCTAAATAATCGTCCTCATGGGACGTTACCTGCAGACACCCAAATCAATCCAAAGAGCAGGGCCCGAAGCAGCTGATGGCAGTGAGTCTCCGAAATGGTAGAGACTTAGATTTAGAGCAAGAAATTGCTCATGAAAGCAGACCGATAGAGACACTGGTGCCAGTACCTGTTGAGCTAGACAATTCAGCAGGGTTAATTGAGGTGACGGTACAACATGCGCAAGAGAACACCAACAAAGAAAAAGAGGTTGTGAAAGAGACAGAGGTTGCACCGGAGCCGACAATAGAAGCAGAGACTGAACAAGAGAAAAATCAAACTACAGGGAAGAAGCGACCACCAGCACCATTCCCACAGAGATTGACCAAATATCAGAAAGATGAGCAGTTCAAAAAATTATTGGAGATGTTGAAGCAAATTTAGGTAAACATCCCGCTGGTTGATGCATTAAAGGAGATGCATGGTTATGCGAAGATGATGAAGGACTTAATGTCCCGCAAGTTCGACTTTCAAGACTTGGCCACGGTTACACTGACTCAAACCTATAGTGCTGTTGTAACGAGACCCATAGCTGAGAAACTATCTGACCCTGGGAGTTTCACAATCCCTTGCACAATAGGCCACTTTGCATTTGCTAAGGCACTGTGTGATCTGGGAGCAAGCATAAACCTTATGCCCCTGGCTATCTACAAAAGGATAGGCATTGGAAGAGCTAGACCCACGTCTATGTTACTACAGCTGGCTGATCGAACAGTGAAGAGGCCCTCTGGGATTCTAGATGATGTATTGGTACAGGTTGGGAAGTTTGTGTTCCCAGCAGATTTTGTCATCCTTGACTGTCGGCTTGACGAGGAAATTCCCATAATTTTGGGAAGGCCATTCTTGGCCACTGGGAGAGCCTTAATTGATTGTGAAACTGGAGAGCTCAAGATGAGATTAAATGATAAAAAGATAACATTCAACGTGCAGAAATCTATGCGGAGACCAAGTGAATTTGCTAATTGCTCTCTAATAGATGCGGTGGATGTAGTCTTGGAGGAGGAAGATGAAGCTTTGAACATTAAAAACCCTCTAGCAGCTTGTCTCATGAACTTAGACGAAGCTAATGGTGAAGACTTGGCAGAGTGGGCACTTGCTCTTGAAGGCTAAGGTTTTTGGAAAAAGGAGCTTGAATTTGAGCCTTTGCACTTAGAGGAAAGAAAAACTCCTCCAGCTAAGCCGTCAATAGAAGAGCCACCAAAGTTTGAACTGAAGCCATTGCCATCCCATCTCAGGTATGCATTCTTAGGACCTGACTCAACTCTACCTGTTATTATCTCAGCTAGTTTGTTAGATGTGCAGGCAGAACAACTTTTGCAGGTACTAATTGAGTGCAAGACTATAATTGGGTAGACCATTGCAGGCATTAAGGGGATCAGCCCGGCCTTCTGTATGCATAAGATTCTGCTGGAAGATGGGCACAAACCTTCCAAAGAACATCAAAGAAGGCTGAACCCCAACATGAAAGAAGTGGTGAAAAAGGAAGTGATTAAATGGTTAGATGTGGGAATCATATTACCCATCTCTGACAGCAACTGGGTTAGCCCAGTGCAGTGTGTACCAAAAAAGGAAGGTATGACGGTAGTGAAAAATGAGAAGAACGAGTTGATCTCTACACAAAAAGTCACAGGTTGGCTAATCTGTATGGATTACAGGAAGTTGAACTTGGCTACCAGGAAGGACCATTTCCCACGGCCATTCATTGATCAGATGCTAGATAGATTGGCAGGGAGGTCTCACATTTGCTTTCTGGATGGGTACTCGAGGTATAATCAGATTTCTATTGCCACGGAGGATAGAGAGAAAATGTCATTCACCTGCCCGTATGGAATCTATGTTTTTCAGTGAATGCCGTTTGGCCTATGCAACGCACCCGCCACATTCCAAAGGTGCATGATGGCCATCTTCACAGATATGGTAGAGGAGATAATGGAGGTTTTCATGGATGACTTCTCAGTGGTGGGGAACTCATTCATGATTGCCTTGTGAACTTGAGAAGATTTTTGAAAAGGTGTATCGAGACTAATCTAGTACTCAAATGGGAAAAGTGCCATTTCATGGTACAGGAAGGTATAGTCTTGGGGCACCTAGTGTCAAGTAAAGGTATTGAGGTGGATCGTGCAAAGGTTGATCTGATAGAAAAGCTTCCACCACCCACCTCCGTCAAAGCAATCAGAAGTTTTCTTGGGCACGCCGGTTTCTATAGGAGATTTATAAAGGATTTTCTAAAATTGCTAATCCCTTGTGTAAATTGCTTCAAAAAGATCACCCTTTTGCATTTTCTGATGACTGCAGGGTAGCTTTTGAGGAATTAAAGAAGAGATTGGTAACAACACCTACCATAGTTGCGCCCGATTGCGAGCAACCATTTGAGTTGATGTGTGATGCGAGTGACTATGCTGTGGGAGCAGTTCTTGGGCAGCGAAAAGATAAAATCATGCATCCAATATACTACACAAATAGAACGCTGAGTGGAGCCCAGCTAAATTACACTGTGATCGAGAAAGAGATGTTGGCAGTGGTGTTCGCATTTGACAAGTTCAGGTCATACCTGATAGGCTCGAAGGTAATTGTTTATACTGACCATGCTGCTCTCAGGTACTTAATTGAGAAGAAGGAGTCAAAATCGCGCCTGATTCGATGGCTGCTACTACTACAAGAATTTGATTTGGAGATCCGTGGCCGAAAGGGAACGTAAAAATTAGTAGCTGACCATTTATCCAGGCTGGAAGGAGCTGAAAAGAAGGTTGAGGTAGAAGAAATTCTGGAAACTTTTCCAGATGAACAACTGCTAACCACGAGTCTCGAGAAAGCGCCATGGTATGCAGACATTGCAAACTACCTGGAGAGCAGTATTGTTCCTTATGACCTTTTATCTGCTCAAAAGAAAAAGTTCTTTCATGATTGTCGCCTATATTATTGGGATGAGCCTTATCTGTTCAGGATTTGTGTTGATAACATGATCCGGAGATGTATCCCCAAGATAGACCGGTCTTCTATTTTGCAGGCATGTCACACATCACCATATGGTGGGCACTTCGGGGGAGTAAGGACACCTGCGAAAGTCTTGGAGTCGGGGTTTTACTGGCCAACACTGTTCAAAGATGCACATTTATGGATAAAGGACTGTGACGAATGCCAACGAACCGGGAACATTTCCCGCAGACATGAGGTGCCCATGAACCCAATTCAGGAGGTAGAAGTGTTTGATGTATGGGGGATCAACTTCATGGGGCCTTTCATCAGCTCATATGGCAACAAGTACACACTCGTCGCTGTGGACTACGTGTCCAAATGGGTAGAAGCTGCAGCACTCCCTACAAATGATGCAAAGGGGGTAATTGGTTTTTTGAGAAAGAACATATTCACCCGATTTGGCACCCCAAGGGCAATAATCAGTGACGGAGGCACTCACTTTTGTAATCGAGCCTTTACAAAGTTGTTGGAGAAGTATGATGTACGCCATAAGGTGGCCACCCCATATAATCCACAAACAAGCGGGCAAGTGGAAGTCTCGAATAGAGAAATAAAGAGCGTGCTGACTAAAACTATGAATGCAACTAGAACAGATTGGGCGAGGAAGTTAGATGATGCACTTTGGGCGTATCGAACCTCTTTCAAAACTCCAATTGGCATGTCGCCATAAAAGTTGGTATTTGGGAAGGCGTGTCATTTACCAGTAGAGTTGGAGCATAGAGTTTGGTGGGCGTTGACAGTTGAATCTTGATAGTGAAGCTGCAGGAACAAGTAGAGTAACAGAGTTGCACGAGCTTGATGAGTTTAGATATCATGCTTTTGAGAGCACAAGATTATAAAAGGAGAGAATGAAGATGATACACGATAGGAATATTATTGAGCGAAATTTTAAACCTGGAGATACGTTATTGCTGTACAACTCACATCTGAGGTTGTTTCCGGGCAAATTGAAATCACGATGGTCAGGGCCTTTTTGTGTGGTTGAAATTCACCCCACGGGTGCAGTAGAGATTGCTGCAGTAATGACCCTCGCACGTTTAGAGTCAATGGGCATAGATTAAGCATTATATGGGCATGGGAAGCAAAGGACGTGAATTGACCCATTTGATCGAGCCTCCACAGTTGAGCGTACTTTAAATACGCTTATCTGCGTCGTGCCGTGACTTTAAATTAGGTGCTTCATGGGAGGAAACCCTTTGATTTGTTGTATTCATTGGGGTGACGTAAGTATCTGGAGGTAGGCATAAACACAAAAAAACATGGATGCCTAATTCGCGGTCGCGGATCTGACCGCAGATCAACCGCGGATTTTGCAAATCTTCTGTCCGTGGCCGCGGATCTGACCGCGGATCCGGCCGCGGACCTGGCGACCTTCAGGTATCAAATTTTAATTTTTTTTTTATTTTCTCCCCCCCTCACCCCCCTTTTTAATTAGTTTTTTTCTTTAATTTAAACCACCCCCTTCAACCGCATCCCCCATTTTCTTTTACCCCCCCTTAACCATAAACAACAACACAAAAATAAAACAAAACCCTCCCCCTTCCCCAAATTTTAACACAACTCCTCCCCCTTCTTCACCGAATCCCCTTCTCTTCTCCCTCCTCTCTACTCACCCACTCTTCCATCTCCGGTCATCACAAGATTCTCAAGTAAGTACATGATTGTACTCCTTTTAGTTTCTTTTGTTTTGTTCTTTTTGATTTTTTTCTTTTCTTTTCATTCTTTGTCTCTACTATTGTAGGTGTAAGAAAGTAGAAATCTAGGTACTCTTATATATGTTGCAATTGTTGATATATTTGTTGCTATGTGAGGACATTAGGTTAGTTGGGTTGGGAAAACATTATTGAGTTGTGAGGAATGAGAGTTTAATTGGGTCCTTTGGTACATTGGGAGGCATATGCACAAGAGGTGTTTGTTGAATTGCCCCAACGAACTTTCTAGAATAAATTGTGACTCAGGGGGCGAGTGAAGTCTGAGTAACTGCCCTTGGGTCACCTATTCCGCTGATTCTTGATAATAGTGGTTGTTGTGTAGGTACAATGAGATCTTCAAAGAAGAGATGCACTACCGGTGGTTCGTCCCGAGCACGGGCATCAGCCAGTTCAGGGCAATTTGATAGCATCAAGTTTGTCTCCAGAGCTACCCAAGATCGTTTCGGTGATAAGGCTATTAGAAAACCGGTACCAGAAAGGAGAGTTGACAAGGGTTCCCTCCAGGCTATGTGCCCCAATATGTATAGGGAGCTGATTAGGCGCAGGCTCGACATTTTCTTCGAGGAGCCGGAGGATGACAACTTGTTTCTTGTTAGGGAATTCTACGCCAACTGTTCCGAACATGAGGATCACATTTGCATTGTGCGACAAAAGAGGGTGAATGCCTCGATCGAAGCCATCCGGAGAGTATATCGCTTGCCCGCATTTATTGGAGAGGTGGATTACTATGATACTTACAAGCGAGAACCCACAAATTGGCAATTGTTTTTGCAAACTATCTGTAAACCAGACAAGGAGGTAGTGTGGGTTGTTCGATCGAATTTGCACTCTGCCTCACTCACCTTTGAAGGTAAGTGTTGGTTGTACATCAACAATAGTCGACTATTGTCGTCCCACAACACCACTGAAGTCAATGGACCGCGAGCTGCTTTGATATGGTGCTTCATGAATGGCCACGATTTTGATGTGGCCAAGATAATTCACTCTGAGATGTTCATCCGTTCAACACTGAGGAGGTATGGGTTTTTCTTCCCATCTCTATTTACTAGATTGTGTTGGGCTGTAGGGGTCAGAGAACCCCAATGTGGACGGCAAGGTGAAGAAAGAAACAATGTTCCGGGCTTCTAAAGTGACCATTGGGAAAGAGACGGTGGCAGCCAGTTCAACTGATAGTGATGATTTTGAGGCATCCGAGGAGGGAGATGATGAGCAGGATGAAGTGGGGGCTGAGTTTCCCTCCCATGAGCATGTTGCGGAAGCCGAAGGGCCATCCGGGGTTGGTCGGGTTACACGGCTGGCAGCTTTAGAGCAGGAAATGGCAGGGTTGCGTACCACTGTCACAGACTTGGGGACTAGAGTGGATGCCTTGGCCACCCAAAATGCTAAATCAGAGAAGAAAATCATGGGCTGGATGCGTGCGCT